TTAGCAATGTGGTCCAATTCGGAATTTTTTTTAAACCTTCTTTCCAGTGAATAAAGAATATTTGAATCAGTGTGATGTATTCCTCAGTGAAAGAACTCACTGGCTGAATCTGTCAGAGCGATTACCGAACGAATATCAAGTCATTACTTTCAGTGATTAAATGTTTCATTAAAATACATTAAAACAATTCATATGGCCATATACACATCAGAATTTTAGTAATGTACCAAGTTAGATAGATGTTACCAAGTTATTGTCTGTATCTTAAATGAGCATTAGGCTAGATATAAGTCCAAATGAATCTGAATCAAAAACTCAATACCCAGGTAGAACAGATAACTCTCTGAGCGACTGTATTGTACTAATTAATGATAAACACTAACTTTAAAATAAGCTGTAATTTACATATTATACAAAAATTCTTGACATCAGTGCTGAATTATTCTCTTCAAGCTATCTGTATGCTCCAAACGACAGGATGTCAGCTGTTCCCTTCCTCTAATCATCCTCTGCTATCACCCTCCACGTGGTCTCCAATCGCCATGGTCACTCCTCACATTTAAAGCAGACTTTAGCCTTCAGACATTGTACATGTACTTTCCATGATATCATCAGCAAAGGCCAAATGTCTGCAAAACAAACCAAGTTAGCAAGTGGTCCACAAGAAAGTAAACATCTTTAAACTCAAAATAACTGGATGCGGTAAATCCATAGCCAAACTTATAATGCATGCTGTTTTATGTTATGCGTATATACTTTAAATGTATTAAAAGACAACATTCTATGTGCAGACAGTCCCTAAATTAGTGTAATCCAATTAAACAAATTAATGGATCGCCTACTTGCATCTCATAACAAATTAACCAAAAGGGCACCAAGGACAACCTCAATCGCAATAATACCATCATATCCACTGCACAGCCAAGCAACCATAATGAACTCACAGCAGAGATGGACCTAAGATACAGGGTAATAATCATATTTGCTCCTCTCACAACTAAACTGCTCTCAGCTCTCTTTATGTTTTCCGTGTATCAAAGCTGTCAGCAGTCGCTGCGAGTTTTCTTCCAGTTTCACAGCTTAACAAGACTTTCTAGCATTGCCAGAGGGCTTCAAGCAGTTGCTCTGAGGAGAACCAGACCCAAAAACAGATTGAATCGCTCATCAGCGTAAGTAAAATCCAAACTGAGGAAAGAGAGAGTGAGAATAAAAGTGTGTGTAAAAGAGAAAAGTGAAAGACAAACAGTAAAATGAGAGAGGCAGCACTAATGAAGGCCAGAACTGAGAGATTTAATGTGCATTTCTGATATTTCACGTTTCTGTAGAGCATTTAAACTTTTGGTTTGTTTAAATTTCAGCCATAACAACAATGAAAATCCAGACTTAAAGTTTATGTGCCACATGGTCGCAATAAACAGATGATGGGAGATATACTGTATGGTGTTTACTAAATTTAAGTTAGAAATATGGGGTTAGTCAGAAAACAAATCAGATATTATTATATATAATAACAATATACTGTACATATACAAAGTGAAAGTAAAGTGTCTAATGTTTTAAATAACTTTTGTGAAAAAATGTCAAAATATGGGTGAAATAATGTTTTATCGTCATTCAGCGTAACAGATATATTTATGTAAAAATGAAACAGCATACTTATTGACCTGTACTTATTAAAGCGATCATACTAAATTTGATCATATTTTAAAAGATAAAAACGTTTTGCTGACAAATGGGTAAAGCATATTGGTTTGAAGGATAGTGATAAAGATTGGTGAAGATTTTAAATGACAATTAATTAGGTTTTGAGGGCTGTACTGTGATATACATAGAGTCATTTAATGACATCAAATGATTCTGTTTCTAAATGTGATTTGTTAGTAGGCTATATGAGCCATTGTTACCCTGAATGACATTGAATGTGTTCTGTAAATCTTGTTAAAAATGTACGCTACTCATTATTGTTTATATATTAGGGGTGTAACAGTTCAAAGTACTCATGGTTTGGTTTGTATCACGGTTTTAGAGTCACAGTTTCGGTACGGTTCGGTGTGTGCTATGTTTAGGGAAAAAAGCACTATACTGTCAAATAAAAATAAAGAAAATAAGAACAACAACAACAACAACAAAAACATTTTTAACAAGCCATATTACAGATGCATTGTCAGATTCAAGTTGAACCGTGGTGCAAGTGCGTGCTGAGCTGTGGGCAGAGAACGGTACAGTTCGAGAACCTACACCCCGTATATATATATATATATATACTGTATATATACATATATTCAAAAAATATAGAGCACAAGTCATATGGACCACTTTTATGGTACTTTTTTGAAGGAAGTCATTATTCCAACTTCAACTTTTCCTTTTAACCATGAAATAGGAAGAGCATTTATAGTGCACCAATAAAAAATTCCAAAGAATACAATTTTCTGCAAGCACTGAAAGAACTTTTAAATTAAGGTTTTAATAACGCACTTTCGGTTTTGTTTTTGAACATCAACTTGAGGGTCTACCTGACCCAGTGTGAGTGTGTGCTGCATGCTGACACACTTGTGCTGAACTTGATGAACTTCAGCTGAAGTCTCGATGGGGTTCTATTTTGGCAGCTGAAAGTTTGCCTGGTGGTTTCTGGCTGAGGAGAGACATACAGTCTCACTTCCTCCTTGAACAAACTGTGGCCTGAGCCTCACCGTGGACACTTTAAAACAGGGGAAGAAGGGGGAACAAGAAATCTTTGCATGAACCAAGTCTCTGTGTCTTAAAGAAATTGTCCATGCACGTATGTAGAAATGCAGGTGTGTGTATGCGGATGGATGCATATAAACTGAATAGAGCCTGTGCCACAAATAGATGTTTAATTGTAAAAGAAACATTGCAACTTGCAACTCACTTAAACATATTACACAGTATGACTTATTTATATATTATTTTATGTTTTTAGATATTACAAACAGACACAAAAGGTGGAAAACTGTATATGTCCTTATGGATTTCTCATTTACTGCAGAATAAAGAATATATCGAAGTAACAAATCCCAGTGGAATTCTCATAAAATGGCCATGTGACCATTTAGATGCATCTTCAAAGGACTAAAAGAGCTCAGTGTGGTTTATGTCCAAAAGCTAAATGAAGAAACCTGATTGTTGGCACAAGAAAACTTTAAATAGTGGTGCTTTTGAACAGAAAGTCTCTCTAAATCAGAAGAACACACAATTGTCAACAAGATGACATAAACCCCCTACAGCTTAGAAGTAGTTAAAGAGATTCCTATGTGACAGTGAGAAAGAGGTCTACGAGTTCATTTCTTGGCGTGTCCCGCAAAGTGAACTCATGTCCTAGTGTTCTAGCGTCCTAACGTGGCCTCTCTTCTTCTTTCTTCCTAATCCCTCTCTGCAGATCCATCAAGAGGAACATATGGGGAGCATATGTGTCTAGCCACATTCTTCAACATACCTGACCCACCACAGAGACCCAGGCTACAACCGACCTGACCCAGCAAGAGGGGACAACGTGCTGCCCTTTCACTTAACCAGAGATGTCGGTCAATGACTCGACACCAAAAAGATCCTCTGTCCTCCGTCTCACCCTCTTCACCTTCAGTTCAACCGGAATGCTGCACACGGAAGACCAGCAGAGGCTATTATCTTGTTATTAGTTCAGCCAGGAACTTTCGTTTTATATGAATAAAACTGTCTTTTTAAAGAGTTAGTTGACTCCCCCAAAAATGTAAATTCTGCCATTGTTTACTCACCCTCATGCAGTTCCAGCTTGTATGAGTTTGTTTCTTTCTTGTAACACAAACGAAGAAAACTGACGAATGGGGACTGGAGATTTTGTGCTTAAAATTGATGCAAAGGCGTCATACTATTTATTTGAAGTCGTCTGAAGCGTTATGATAGCTTTTTGTTACTAAAAGTCCAAAATTGACATGGTTTCCCAGTGATAATCTCCCGCTTGTTTGGACTTTGTAAACAAATCATTCAGATCCGACACAAAAGAACGTTCACGTTGAAACCAACAGAGATAACAATTGCAATTGTTCGTCTTTTGTGCGTCAATGTGCATACTTGATTGTGAAGGGTCTAGTGTTCCTTCCATAAAAGTAAATGCACAGTGACTGTTGATTCTTGTGAGTATGCCTAATGAACAGAAATGATGCGAAACATAAACTTACTCAACTTTACTATGCCTTTGAAAGCACTGTTTTTTCTTGATATGCAAATCTAGTTTTATATACGTTCTTCTGGACCTCTAATAACATCAGATGCCGATTAGACATTTTGATCCAAGTTCCTGTGAGCACACGGTTCTGTAAATTAATATCAGACTCACTTACACACTCACCCATCCAAACTCCTAACACAGTGATACACAATACAAAAACTCAAAAAGATTGCTCTCAGCATTAAAAAAAAAATGACAGACTCTTCTTAATTTATATATTCATATCTTTATATACAATTATGGCTTCATATAACAGCTGCAATTTTCTTTTTAAATTAAAATCAATTCTTCATCGCTGTTTACATTACAATATTAATAGGCACTTCCTCCATGTAGAACTAGTCAAAAAAAAAAGCATGTGGTTCTGACAAGGACTGTACGATGAGTGTATGTTTCTAATGTACAATTGGCTACAGTGGGAATACATCTCCCATCTCAATTAGGTCATGTCAGACATTAAAATCAGCCCCCCCAAAAAAGACTTCACTAACACATTTGAGACACATTCGTCCATTAAGAAATTAGAGTCAAAACAAATGACATTTGTGATTATTAAATAAGACAAAATCAACGCATTTTATGTCAAAAGATCCAAACAAACAGACAAAAAAAAATTACACTCAGACACTCTTTAAGAACACTTAAGGATGCTTAAAATTATATACAGATATTAGATAACAGACACAAACAAACAAAAGTATACTTATAATATTCATAGACAGTCTGAAATTACTACAAAATGCAGATTGTTGTTTTATATCTGTCAAATAATATATGCATATGTTTAAAATTCTTTTAAATTTACAAACCTTCTTGGTACCCCTCACTGCTTAGATAGAAAATCTCACATGTTAGAAATCTCAAAGCATTAAATATTTTGTAGATGTGCAGTTACAATGAATGTGTGTGTGTGTGTGTGCGCGCATGTACATTATTAAGACAACAGAGAAAAATCTTAAATTACACAAAATTATCATATAATTGTAAAAACATTTTAAGAGGCCTTAAGCCTGATGCTCTCAAGACAGATGCTAAATTAGTCTTTAGTAAATGTTGCCTCCAGTGACCTTTTCTGAAGAATCTCATCATAGCTCATTTTAAATTTCTTCCAAATTCTTCTTCCGGGGGGGTTTTGAATCATGAATATCATGACGTTTTCTTGGGGTTATACTTAAAATTAAATGGCCTTTTAATATTAAGACTTTTTTACGATTATCTCAGGACTGTTATACCCCTCTGACATTCTTTTAATTTGTTAAAAAAATAAATAAAAATGGATTTTAATTTAGAAATTGATGAAAAATCATCACATCAATCAAACGCCAGGTTGTAAGAGGGGAAGGCACAAAGTACACATCATTATATACAATGAAAGAATTTCCTCCAGCAGTTTGAGAAAATCTATGTTATATGTACAGCAAACAAGGCCACAATAAAAGGATTTTTTAGACATTTAAAGGCTGGGAGGGGTTATTGAAGAGCATTTAAATGACCTGTAAGATGCTTACAAATGTACAAATATAAACATTTCATTTACCAACCCATCAGTACAACAAAAATATACATCTCTGTACAAAACACATTCATTCAGCACCCTGAAATGACAAAGATAACCGTAATGTACACTACACCAGACATTACACAGTACTCCAGTTAATATGACACACACATCTGCCCTGAATTCATTTGAGTGACATACAGTGCCAAACTGAAAGCCCAAATAGACAAAAAATATACAAAACAATCTCAAATATCTGAGTGTTTGACATGACTATTTTTGATTAAACGGTTTCAATATTTACGTTCCGACTAACCACAAACAAAAAGAAGATTATGATGACATTCATGGAGTCACTGGAACAATGTACTGTAAATCAGTAAATAATGACCATTCACTGGCCTCTGCTGATTGGTTGCAGAAGTTCTGACTGAGGTAAACAGTTCATGAGGTGCATGCACACTCTTCAGAGAGAGAAAAGAGAAAACGGTAATAGTGAACTAAATGACATCTGTGATGTCAGTAATTTTTCTATTTTATATGAGATATACAAAGTTGCAATTGTGAGAAATGAAGTCAGAATTCAGAGAAATAAAATTGGAATTTCTAGATATACAGTCACAACTATGAGAAATAAAGTAGGTGGCGGTACATGCGGCAGTAATAGGCATTTCGGTCGACTACTTTCTGTAGTCACAACTACAAGAAATAAAGCTGCAATTGTGAGAAACAAATTCAGAATTGGGAGAAATAAAACCGGAATTATAAGATATATAGTCACAACTACAGGAAATAAAGTCACAATGGTGAGAAATAAATTCAGAATTGGAAGAATTCAAATCAGAATTGCGAGATATATATTCACAACTACGAAAAATTGAGACACAATTGTGAGAAATTCAGAATTAGGAGAAATAAATTCAGAATAGCAAGATATATATTTACAACTACAAGAAATAGAGTCGCAATTGTGAGAAATAAATTCAGAATTAGGAGAAATACAATTTAAATGGCAAGATATATTTCCAGATCTATAAAAAAGCTGCAATAGCGAGAAATAAATTCAGAATTGGGAGTTAACAATGTTACCAGAGGTCATAACGTAGTTATTTCATAATAAATAATGGTAAAAATAAAAGAGCAAATATGACATTTATTAATGGTGTTGATGAATGTCTGATGATCGAAGTGTTTTCAAATTTAAAAGAAATAAAATTTAAATTGCAAGATATATTTCCATATCTATAAAAAAAGCTGCAATTGTGAGAAATAAATTCAGAATTGGGAGAAATAAAATTGGAATTGTCTATAAAAAAGCTGCAATAGCGAGAAATAAATTCAGAATTGGGAGAAATAAAATTTAAATTGCAAGATATATTTCCATATCTATAAAAAAAGCTGCAATTGTGAGAAATAAATTCAGAATTGGGAGAAATAAAATTTAAATTGCAAGATATATTTCCATATCTATAAAAAAGCTGCAATTGTGAGAAATAAATTCAGAATTGGGAGAAATAAAATTGGAATTGCGAGATATGTATTCTTATCTATAAAAAAAAGGCACAACTGTGAGAAATAAGGACAGAATGGCAAGACAGAGACACAATAATGGGAAATAAAGTCGCAATCATGCGGAGATGGGCTTCAATTATGGCAAAATTATATTTATTTATTTTACTTTTGTTTTATTTTACGCTTGTAATAATTGATTCCTTGCAGATGGGAAGGAAATGTAAGGTTCTTGTATGTGTAGCCTTTTGGTATGACCTACAGCATTCAGCATTCTGCTTATGTCTATGACATATTTACATATATATTCACACATTTGTTATGATTAATTCATATCATATTATTATAAACATCCTGCCTCACCAATCTGTATGTGTTTTGAGTAGATAACGTGTTTATCCAGATACCCAGCTATGCGTGTTGGTCTTCACCCCATGTGGGAAACTCTGTTGACTGCTCATGGGGTCGAAGTTGAAGTCCAGAGCATCGCCATCCATGAGCGTGTCGTGAAGGACGGTTTCTACGTCACACTCCAGCTGTTCGATCGACATGTCATCTAAGTCACTGGGCAGCCGCTCCGGGTGGCTGTGATGTTGGTGAGGTCCCGGTCCGTGCCTGTGGAAACCGTTGCCATTGGTGTAATTCGGCATCCCGGCTTCGCCTCCGCCTCTTCCTAGTTGAGCGTGATGAGGCAGGTGTGGTTGTAGCTTCATGTTACCGAGGCGAACAGGATGCCCATAGGGCAAAAGGGCACAGCCATTCATGCCCATTGCTGGCGAGGGCAACTGATGAAGCGAGTGTGGGTGCGCGTGCAGGTGAGGATGCGTGATCATTTTGCCCCCCTGTCCCATTTGTCCTTGACTAGCATAGCTAGGTAGCACCCGTCGCCCTTCTCCAGACCCCACTGACTCTAAAGGCTGCATCATGTCCCCTCTCGGATGTGAATCTGCGCTCAGCAGCTCTTTGAGCAGCCCTGCAGCACAGTTGTACTGACTCACGAAGGGTCCGTAGCCTCCTGGTTGACTGTCCGATAAAGTCGGTATGGCAATGGGACCCAGTCCGCCTACCCCAGCCTGTACATACAGGCACTTCCGGTAGTCCTGCTGGACTTGGGGCTGAGGACCCATACTGGGGGAGTTGTAAGACGGGTACCCAGGGCTACCTTGCATCATGGGCGAAGACAGTGCAGTTTGGGCGTCTTGGCTGCCCTGGGTGTTATTTTTGGGTGAGATGAGGTTGAGGTTGTCTAAGAGATTGTCCATCATCACGTTCTCGGAACCGTGGTGACCCGTCACTTCAGAAAGGCTGGGGAGGGGGCCGCCCAGTTTAGTGCCTGGGTACCCGATGGGAACCTCACCGGCCTCATCCTCCTCAGGTAGGAACGGTGAGCGACGGCCGCTGAGCGTACTGGCATCAGAGCTGGCACGGGTACGAAATGTGGTCCAGGGTTCAAAGTCATCATTGCTGTGAGAGTTGGGGCTGCCGAGCCATTTTGGGTACTGAGCACCAGGACTGTTAGAACCACCGTCCAGCCCACTCTGCAACGACATCTACAGATACAAAAGAAGAGCTATGAAAACCAACTGTAACACATTATTGCTCAGATATATATTGCTGTAAGTCACTTTAACACCATGTCTACACTGGAAGTAGCACAACTATTTATCATCTCATTAATGCAAACCAATGAGATTTAAGTTTGAGGCCATGAATTATTTTTAAACTGAATTTGACTGGAAAAAGGAAGGAAAAAAGTTTTTTTTCTGGGTTGTTTTAGAACAGAGAAGTAATTTTACACAGAATTTTAGCACCACTAAAATTGTGCATAAAAATGTTTTTAAAAACATTTTAAAAAATTATTATTTTAATTAGTATTTTAAAAAAATATATTATTTGTTTAAATTAGTAGTCCTGAGACCAGAACCATAACAAGTTGGCTTCGCAGATATAAACAAAAACATATAACAGATTAAATAAAATTTTAATTAAATTAAAAACTCAAACAAATGTCACATTATATTCATAAAAAATGTTTTTGGTTTCAGATGGTCAGGGAAAATAAAGTAGCTTGAAGTGCATCAAAAATAGAAATCAACTAAAGGCATGTTGTAATGCAGCACAATTTATGCTTTTCAGTATTGACCGCTTTATAAATTACAATGCTAACTATTTAGTTGAGGTGTTGCAATGTGCCACTTATACAGACAAAAATCAAAGACAAGATTTTTTTTAACAGTATGTATAATTAAATAACTGATTGCAGAAGCCTTATGTTGAGTGATGCTTACAGTAGTTTAAACCAATACATTAATGTTTCGGCACACAGTGAATCTGCACCTAGTGAGCAAGCAGAGATTTTTTTCCCCCTCAGCTGACCTTTTTCTTGGCTGCTCGTCCGCGGCTCTTTATGAACTTGCTGTTGTTGTCCATGGAAGTGGCTCTCCGGCGTGGAGACTTGCCGCTCTTTCCCCCCTCAGGGTTCAGCATCCACCACGAGCTCTTCCCAGTTCCTTCATTCTGGACGCGCATGAAACGACTGTGTAAGGACAGATTGTGTCTGATTGAGTTCTGTCAGGGGGAGAGAGAGAGAGAGAGAGAGAGAGAGAGAGAGAGAGAGAGAGAGAGAGAGAGAAAGGGAAAAAGAGAGAACGAGTGAATCTGCACCTAGTGAGCAAGCAGAGATTTTTTTCCCCCTCAGCTGACCTTTTTCTTGGCTGCTCGTCCGCGGCTCTTTATGAACTTGCTGTTGTTGTCCATGGAAGTGGCTCTCCGGCGTGGAGACTTGCCGCTCTTTCCCCCCTCAGGGTTCAGCATCCACCACGAGCTCTTCCCAGTTCCTTCATTCTGGACGCGCATGAAACGACTGTGTAAGGACAGATTGTGTCTGATTGAGTTCTGTCAGGGGGAGAGAGAGAGAGAGAGAGAGAGAGAGAGAGAGAGAGAGAGAGAAAGAACGAGATGAGAACATGAAAATCTGAGTATAGACATCTGACAGAAAACTAATCATAATGACCTGCAATTGTCCAAATCAATGTCATAATATCATGCTTTAATGTTGTAAGACACTCAGATATAACAAAACATACGAGATACACCAGTCACATAAAAGAGAAGTGACTTTTGATAGACAAAACAGCCAATATTTGCACACAATCACAGACAATCATATACAAGCAGCCTTCTCAGAGCCTAGTGACAATATGAAGTAGAGCAATAGCCAGTTAGCTGGCAGAGGAAAAGCTGTAATAGTCATGTCCTTTTTGGAGGCACACACTGAACTCAACCTATACACACACACATCCTGCGCTAATGATATTTTGTCTGCTTCAGTTTTTCCATTCACACCCTGACCAGACCAACATCTACTAAGAAAGAGAAGAGAGACTATCATAGTACAATTTAAAAGTCTAAAATATTTTGCTAGCTTAACTCTTATCGTGATTTCTTTGGGGAAAAGTGACATCATTCAGGCCTGAACTGCTCATTGAGAAGAGATGAACAGGAAAAAGTAAACCATACAGACATTTAGAAGAGGATAAAGGACAAACTCAAGAATGAAATTGTGATTGGTAATTTGTTTTGTGTGGTATTTTGATGATCCCATGCTATTAGGGATGCACGATATTATCGGACCAATATCGGAATCGGCCGATAATGGCTTTAAATGTAAATATCGGCATGGCCCGATTTGAAAAATTATGCCGATATGTCTTGCTGATAAGAGGAATAGGTTAACTCATGTGCTCAGGGTGTGCTAGCGATTACATCACGTCAGCAGTGTGACTCATTTTTGAAGCAAAGTTTTGTCTGAATGATGATTAGATTCACTCTTTTGGATGCTGCATTTAAACTGAGAAAGCATGTACAGAATGACGCTTCGGTGTATGATAGAGTAAACCGTAATAGCACGTGCAGTGGCAGCAGCAGCAGCCTCCCCTGGGTCCTAATGCCTAAAGGAGTTTTAATTCCGTAGGGGGCACTGTTGGCCTATTTTTAATAAAGTGAAAGTACAATACACAAACAATATTTAGACTGTGTTTCTGATTAAATAAAGCAGTAATTGATGTCATAAAATTATGAGTATGTTTTGATTTAAAGGTCAGAAGCTATAGCTTACATGAATTTAAAAAAAAATCACAAACATGACATTTGTAAATTAAATAATTTTATATATACTGATTTATTCATTAATGTGTAATATATTTTTTTAAACAAATTATGAGCTCTAAAAGATTTTCAGAATTTTTACATCTCTTTTGCTTTAGACCATCTACAAATGTTAATTCTTAAATTAAAATTTTAAGGTTACTACTGCATCTTTCTGAGAAAAAAATTCAGCAATTGATATATATAGTTTATTTATAGTTATTTTCAAAGCTTTAATGTACTGTTATTATAAAAATGTTTTAACTAGAACTTATTTGTTAGAATTAAATAAACAATAATGAAGTTCTAGTTAAAAATTTACCAAAATTAAAAATGATTTGCTTATAATTTCCACACAGGAGAGACTTGGTATTGTTTCCAAACAAAAGTAAATATATCGGTATCGGCATCGGCTATCGGCCAAAAAGAGTTGAAAAATATCAGCATATCGGATATCGGCAAAAATCCAATATCGTGCATCCCTACATGCCATCATAATTATTAAAGTATAAAATTAACAATGTTACCAGAGGTCATAACGTAGTTATTTCATAATAAATAATGGTAAAAATAAAAGAGTAAATGTGACATTTATTAATGGTGTTGATGAATGTCTGATGATCGAAGTGTTTTCAAATTTAAATTTTTTTTTGTAATGATGAACAACAAACATAAAAATAATATAAGTACATAATGACAAACGGCTATAATTACTAATTTCCCTCTCAAAAATAGAAAAAATAAATACATTTAATAGAGTTATTTGCGTCATTGATAGTAGTTGGTATCAGATCTAAAAGCAAATTTGTGATATCATCCTTATTCTACATTAGCATGAAATTGGGACAAGAAATTATGATGATAAGTGCAGAAAATAAAACCCATCCAGCATATAATCCATAATAATAAAAAAATGTGAAAAATGAATGAGGCCTGTTTTAGTATAATTCAAGTAATGTACAAAATAAAAGAAGAAAGTTAGAAATTGCAACCATACACATAGACCACATGGATCCACATGTAAAAACACTTTGGATCTTTCAAAGGGAAGAGTTGCTGGTTATATGCTTATTATGTGTCTCTAAAACATTCAAAAAACTAAATCGTTGTGTGAAGCCTTACTAGATCAACACTAGAAAGTTGAAGCAGTTTGACTTTATTGGTCCAAGCAAATTAAGTATTTATGTATTACTACATTTTAAATTAAAAAATCAAGTGTCACTTTACTGGTGGGGTGAACTGCCTGTTTCCTGTGTAACAGGAAGTAAATTGGTAGGAAGAGGGAAAGCAGAGGCTCAAGCCTCAGAAGAAGGTCAGCTGAAGGTCATGACCACAGAGGTCAAGTCAAGGGAAATGCGGCTTCTACATCACAGAATCAGTGAAGAGAACGCCTGCATAGATTCGAACAGGGTGAATGAGCAAGTGTGCAGGGGGTCTGGAAACACCCGTTCTGGATCTTCTGTCTGACCCGTTTAACTGGCCCTACTAGGATAAGAATAATGAGGGAAAACAGAGCTGAGGAAAGGATGCTGAGTGAGAGGAAAAGGAAGAACTGGAGGAATAGAGATAAAATGAGAAAGAGTGGTACCAGTACGGAAAGTAAAGTGGTGAAGAAGGGAGGTAGTAAGCATTGAGTCATGAAGGAGGAGGAGGAGGAGGAGGAGTGTTGAGGTAGAGGCGGGGCAGTGGGAATGTTTTCCTGCTGTGAGGGACGGGGTCGATGAGTTCGCTGTGTGTGTGTGTGTGTGTGTGTGTATCTGTGCATGTGTGTAGAGGAGGACAGCCTCTCCAGTACTGCTGACAGACCCTTGCAAACAGACACAGGGAGAGTAATAACGTATGGGGCAGTCTGGCATCTGTCTACACTGTAACGGAACCCCCACAGCATAGCCTCACTCCACCTTGACTGAGAGAGAGAGAGAGAGGGCGAGGGAGAGGGAGAGAGAGCGAGAGAGACAAAGAAAGACAGAAATAAAAAAGACAGACAGAAATAATAGGGATGCCTGGATATTAAAATTCAGTCCAATATTAATAGTTGATAATCAATATGTTCAGGCCGATAACCGTTAAAAGGGATACTATTAAAATTATATTTTGTTCTTTTATAATATTTAAAATATATAAGAAAATAAAATTCTAATATATATAATTTTCATATCTGCTGATATTAAAGTTGTATATTAATTCGAATGATATTTTTGACTATTTTGTAATTAAAATGTTTGTTGCTAAAAATAACATTATTTTGTGATTTGGTGTAATGAAATGTGTTTATGCGATTTAAGGTTCAAAAACACATTATTTTCCACATACTGTACGGGGAGGGTGGGGGGCGGAAGGGATGGATGATGTTGAATTGAGATGTTACATTGTTTTCATTCTGACTTGTTTGCTAATATATATAAAAAAAAAAAAAAAAACGAATATTACATTTAAGATTTCCTAAATGAAACAGTGTTATTTAATTTTTTATGATTCAATTTAAGTGATCGTTAGTTGACAGCAAAGGCAATGTAAAAGTATCAGTAACCATTATAGTACCATTATACTGTACATTCCAAAGAAAAATTGCACCATAATACACTCAGTATTTTTCATACATACTCTCATTCAAGTAACATTCATGACAATAAAAAAAGAATATAATTTTATTTATAACATTCAAAATAAATGTACATTTTTCTAAAATGTAAAAGGTTTTACAAATTTAAAACAACCTGGTCTTATAATCAGTAAAACATACTTTCACTAAACACTTAATTTTTCAGTTTTTTTTTTGATCGAAAACTTTGCTATACCAAAAACATAATTTGACAAAATGTTGTCTCTTGAAACTCTACACTTCACTCCTCCTATAAAGAAGAAAAGACAGTTAAAGAAAGAAAGAAAGGATGTTGTGAGTGTTCCAGGGTACTCATGCATAAATTCATCTAGTCACATTAGCAGATCACACACACACACACACACACACACACACACACAGTCACATTCAGAACACACGCTTTGCACATGCACACCAGGCCGGGCGGCAGGATATGAGTCACTACAGGAATGCGACGGAGAAGGTGTTACAGTTTTCTAATCAAACTGGTGATCACACGTTCAAAAAGAACAAAATTACGCTAATGCCAGAATAATTTCAGGTTCAGGTATGGTTATTTACTCAATACCCTCAAAATAGATTTAAGCTTGCAGTTAGTCTTTGACTACTGATCTCAGGGTCAGCTTTATAATGTACAGTACAGGAAGTGAGTAATAGCCAGGATTGCATGAAATCTGTTCCTCCAAAATCAGAAAAAGGCCCTTTAGACACATCAGCGCATCAATTCAACTGTGTCACAGATGTCAATTCTGGATGCTGTTTGAATGCACACAAATGCAAATCAGATTTGAGAGCTAGGGTAGATTTTCAATAAATTAAATTTCATTTTGTTCCTCACACAACACTACCGTATGGCTTCAAAGATTCAAAAAATAGCACACAAGTTATTTTGGAAGGATGTGAAAAAATTATGACAATTGTAATTTTGGGTGAATTAACCTAGTAATTCTGGTCTGACATCAGTACATGGGACATCTATACATGGTGTGGGGCCTTCGCCTCTCTCTACTCTTCTCTTATCACAGGTATGCAAGGTATTTCAAGGCTACAGAATGACCTTTGGTCTCAGATCTGGGATATCCCCAACTGATCTACGACAGTAAAGAAAAGTGTGCATTAAAATCCCCTTTGGGTAAGATCTGAGTCA